CTTCAGAAAGAAATAGTGACTCAACATAATTTTGATATTGGGGCATGTTGTCTGAGTTATTTATTAATTGCCTCCTAAAAATTTTAATGAAGAAAAATCATGCTCAACCGCTAAAACCTGTTGCAAAAATTCATTTTGCAAATTTGCTAAAAATTCAATCACTTTGCACAGATATAATGATTCATTCCTTTCTTCAAATAATGCAAAAACCAAAGAAAGATTTCTTGTCATCTCAGGCATCGAATTTACAAATTCATGACACTCGTTTCGAACATTTGTTCTAATAAAATTCTATGCATTAGCAAAGTTTTCAAATGCTTTCTCAAGACTTATTTGAGATTGAACCTCATTTCTCCTAAAAAATCTGTCAAATGTAAGATTGAGTGCTTCATCTCTTTTCAATCGGTAGCATAGCCTTGAAGAGAGCATCCTTGTAAATTTCACAATCGGTATAAGATTTTTCACCAATGTCAATTGTTCTTGATATTCAAAGAAAAGTGACAAAAATGGAAATTTTGTACTAAAATCTGGATATCCCATACAATATGCTTGTAAATTTTCAAGGCTTGGTTTACCGATTCGTCTCCAAATTCGCGGATAAAAATTGTTCTGATAATCTTCATCAACATCCAAAGTTTCATTAACTTCATTTTCAAGTGTACGTTGTGCATCTTTTACCAATTTTTTGAAATCATTTGCAGTGCGAAGAGCATTAGTAACTTTGGGTTTTATGTAAAGTTGAGTGAATTCATTTTCCCATGCTTGTCGTTTCTCTACTGTATCTAATCTTGCTGCTATTTCAATTTGACTCTCGGACATAGAACGGAGGATTGAATGTAATATAATCGCCAAGGTCTCATCATCGCAATCAAATAAAAGCGTCAATTTTAGCCAATCATTTTCAATATGCTGTTGACAATACAGTAATCCAAAGGATCGTCAATCATTTCATGATTTTCGTTATTTTGTTGAGGATTATTGAAAAAATCCCATTGATCTGTATTCGAAGCGGCAGCAATAAG